ACAGACAGACAGACAGACAGACAGACAGACAGACAGATAGACACACACACAGACAGACAGACAGACAGACAGACGGACATAATCGTAATTTCGGTAATCCTATCTTGTAACAATACAACAGGGCTTGTTGTGATTGTTCAAATTTTACTTGAAACTTATGAATGATGCGATAGCGTTCAGAACAATTGTTTCCATTTTGTGTAATTAATGTCGATCTTCAGTTAGCCATCTCGAAGCATTCTGGTGTTGAAATTCAATGAAATTAAGACATAAACTGTTCTTCTGGTTGCAGGTCTCTCGTTTGAGCCAGAGCAGTGCCCTCCAAGATGGACAAGAAGTGTCAAGGTCGACGATCCCGTCCCGGAAAAACACCAGCGGTGTTGGGAGCTTTCAAGTTTTACCCTGAAAGGAAAACTGTGCAAGAACAGCTTAACACCACAAGGCTCAAATTTACCGGCAGTCCAATTCTGCATCCAAAGGGAAAATAATATGTTGGTTTACGGCCAATATAGAATACAACCTCAAAAGGCTTGTTGTTGTTTTTCTAGCCCATTTCGTTGTGTTTAGAACTGTTTTCACTGTAAAGCACAATTTGGATCATGTGCATTAGTAGATAATACAACTCACGCAACTGTTAATTAACATTTGCTCGGAAATCTAGTAATCTGTGAGCAGGCGCGGTTTGTCCATAGAGCACGGTCTTGCAGTGCCGCCCCAAATGTTTTATTGTTCTTAAATGTAAAGCACCCATAATAATAAAATAAAAGACGCCAGAATCAAATACAAGTCTAACATTTTATCAAAACAAGGTCCTTGCTGGCCCCGTAACAGTCATCTTTGTGTCTCTAGCGCCGTAAAACAAAGCCAATGCACTATAACCTCTCCTTTCACTCTGTCAATATTAATAAGTCTGCACATCTAAAATGTGCTCCTGCCGAATAGTGTCGAAACATAGCCCACAGTCGGCAATCTAAAAATAAACGCCATAGACTGTACGCTATTCAAAGTTAGAGAACGTATACAAGTTGTCTACATTCTCTAATGTTAGTAGAAAACCTAAAAAATAGCTCGCTCGCTTTATCTAACATGGAAACGAGTCTACATTGCTGCTTCCACAATGCTTCCACATTATTTTCGCAAGCTGTTAAGTTTACTTTGGCGAAATTAAAATGCTCGCGAAAATGAAGCTGTCTACAGTACCGCATCTTGCCTTTACAACGGCGTTAAACCCCTAACCAGCAACCAACACCTTCTATCATTCCATCGAAGGAATAGGGGTTGGTGGTTAGTGTATGTGTGTGTGGGGGGGGGGGGCATCTAGCAACCACAGAGCTCACGATCGGCTCACTGTGCTGTGTACGTATTCACGCAAAAAAA